GATCTACATAAGTTGGGTCCTAGTACCTTTTTTCGTATTTAACGCCAATCGGCAATCCTCGGCTCATTCCGCAAGCTCCATACTAACCTCGGATGTGATAGGCGGAGAAATATGCATCAAATCCATGCATTTTGTCCGCCGGAAATGCCTTCTCACTCAATCAATTATTCTGCTCATAAAGATGTCTGTCAATACCCCTGATTTTTATGATGCTTTACAGTTTGCCAAACAATTCACTAAGTTTGACTTTGATTTAAAGGATAAACAGATACAAACGTTGAAAGTATTGTGGTTTAAATTAGCGCGAGGTTGAAAGTAGTTCCTTCCCAACAATCAACAATCAAATATGGATGCCTCCGTATCACGTCCGAGGTCATTGTCGAGTGCGGAGACATCCGAGTAGTTCCGAGTGATATAACGCCGCAGGGATACTCTTCATGTACATTAAAATCGAGCATGCGCAAATAAATTCATTGTCACATGACAAGCACAAAATGGCTAAACTATCACGCACGGTTGCTCTTGTGCTGGCGTGCTTTTTCACGTGTTGGACACCTATTATAGTAATGCTCGGCGTTCATAGTTACACTTTCATGAACTATAATCCTCTCACATTGAAGATTCGATTGGCGCTTGTTCAGCTGACGGTTCTGAACTCTGCGGTGAATCCTGTTATTTACGTGATCAGATACCGGCAGTTTAGGAAGGCGTTTCTAGAGGCAGTAGGCAGTAAGAAGTTGCAATCTAGCCCATACGAAACAGGGCCCTGTGCATGTAATGTGCATTCTCATGGACAGAATCAAAATTGAGCATTTAAAATTGATAATAGAGAGTTGAACAATCCTCTCACGCTGAGTATTCGATTGGCGTTCGTTTAGCTAACGGCTTTGAAGTCTGCGATGAATCCTGCTATTTACGTGATCAGATACGGACAGTTAAGGAAGGCGTTCCTAGAGGCAGTTGGTAGCAATAGTTCAGATTAAAATGATATATGTTCCGGGTGTGCAGTCTCATGGGCGGAGCCAGAATTGAAGCTATAATGATATTTATGCATATTAACTATTTGGACGTGTAAAATAAGGATTTCTTCACAACCGTAAATAAAACTCCAGCACCCATTTGGAGATCCCGATTTTACAGACAACCTCCGTGACATCAGCTTTACATCATTTGTGGCTAAGTTAATAAACAGAAGGAGAATCAACCGCACAGTTGTGTTTACAATCAGAACGAAACATCAGCAGTGATGGGCAAGTGCGAAATACAGCTCTTTTTGGTTCCCTCTCCAAACTTTCCCAAACATGCACAAGACCCTTTATGGCCATGTATGTAGACACACGACTACGCCTTGCCAACAGCTCATCACATAACAACGTAAGATTCGGTACTTCAGTAGAGACCGAGAATCAGATAAATTTATAGACATACTGATGGGCGATACTGGCCTAGAACATGTGGAAAGATTGAGAGCCACCATGAGTAAAAAAATCTCACAGCCCCATCCTGTTCTGTCGCCGACATGATTATTATTATCACTATTATTATTATTATTATTATTATTCCACTTTGGACTGATAGTATTATCTCTGGACAAGATGACCCAAGTCCACCGGCATGTTAACAAAGCGTGGAAGAGGGGCCATATTTGCCCCTGTTAGCCACGCGCTAGTGCACGCTGTAGCTGACAAAGCGTTGTCATGGTGCGCAATAAATGGCTACTCTGACCCGCTTGACCTGGTCCTTGGCGCTGGTGGGGGCATCTCCATGTTCGCGGACACTGTCTAAAATAGAGGCAAAATAAGATCCATTATCTTCTGTCCTAAATAGATTGAAATAACATGTTTAAATGGTACCTACTTGCATATATTTTTTTGGTAGGAGATAGGAAGAACTTTTGTGCAGCTGGTTGGATTGTTGTCTTTATTTAGTTACATTGCGTTGACTTTAAAACGTTAAAGAAGGAAAATTAGGACCGTGTGTCGTTGTTTGTGTTCCCGTTATGGCAGGCAGTTGCTAGTGATGAGAATAATTTTTTGTAGTATACTGTGAAAAAAGTTCAAAGGAAATTGCAAAATTGTTTTGTTAATTAAGATTGATATTTAAGTTAACTGAACATTCAAATAATATGATAATATCCACTAATTTTACTTTACTTATATAATTAAACGGACAAGCGCTCTTTATAAATACGCACTGGCATTGAAAGAGAAAGATAAATGGTCTACACATTCGAGACCATATGTCAGATATTGCTTGCTCTTGATCTTGCTACCTTTCATACTCAAAATACCGGGAATTACAGAAGCGATTCAAAGTAAAAATTATATTCTTACTCGTTATTATTCGATGACATTGGAGCTTGTTTCACACATGTTTGTAGATTACAAGTCCGCTATAGTGTAGGAGCGTGAACAAACAAATACAAACAATACATACTTATCGGCATAAATGTGCTTTTAGAGCATATACCCAACAAGGCGTGCATACACACACACACTGACACGAATAAGGAAAGACATTTATTAACATCTTTGAAACCAGTGCATTTGCAATAAGATATACACGCATTGTGATACATGTGCTATCTTTCTGATGTGTCTTTTTTAATATATATATAGTGATACAGAAATATTCACGATTACTCGCCTCACTCTTTAAGGAGTAGGCCCTAACGTATCGTGTGTTATGGATATGTCATACAGTATCCAGCAGTTGTGGTTCAACGACATCTCAACTGTAGCAATGTTGCCGCGTGGTTAGGCCTGCACGGGTGTTAAAGTATGTTTCACGATAGGTCTAAAATTTCTGCAAGCAAATAGACTACTTCTAACTGTAACGCACCCGAAATTATCAGCGAAGCAAGTAAAGCAATTTAAACGCATTTCTATTACCTAGCAATTACTTCATACCCCCCCCCCAAAAAAAAAAAACACTCTTAAGTACTCCAATGTTCATAATATAAAAGAAGTAGGTCACGCGTCGTCTTATTTCGTTGACAGTGAAGATGTTGAACGGCATGATTCATTGGTTTCTCACTAATAGTCACTTACAAAATTACGTCTGGCGGAAATAATATTCAGAAAAGGTTTGCTATGCCATGACACAAAAACAATGCTATATCTATGACAGATTTCCAATTAAGTTGATTTATAAATGGTCATTGTAATAGTTCCTGATTGCAATTTTCTTTTGTGGTGTGACTGTTGGGTGCCACAAAAGACACTTGCGGGCCTCTTTTTATGTATATCAAGTCACACAAAACCACATTAGTTGTGGTTTTATTTTCTTTAATGGCTTTTACAATTTGTGAAAACAATGCCAGTGAAATGGCAACTCATTACCCAAAAACTATGGGGGCGCTTTACCTGTCCATGTACATGTAAGTGTGCAAATTCTCGAGTTCATTATCGAAAACTTACAATAAAGCATACAATAGATTATTATTCAGCAGTTAGATCAAACGATAACTAAACGTTGAGCTGCGTATAAATAAGCATTGATGGAGAGAGAAATATTCATTTCGAGAAAATAACTGCGTTAATAGGTCGTTAAATGAACAAAAGGTGGGGAGCTTACAGTAAAAACTTACTTGTTATGTCGCTATATCAGTCCAGCACGCGAGGTGTCGAATTAAATGTCTGTTACACCGGGTTTGAGACCGCTTGTGAAACTAATTTTTGCCCACTCACACCCACTAATACAAAGTTGGGGTTTAGACAATAATTTGAAGTAAACATCAAATTCATATATAAGTGGAAATGAACTGAAATTTTGGCAGCCTTTAGTCATCAATTTCATGTTTTTGCGTTGAGGGTTGAAATTCGTTTTCCAAGCGGTGTTGTAAGCCCAGTGTTACAAGAGCCTCTCTCTTTCTATCTCTTTCTCTCTCAGACTCAGTTTCTTTACATTTCTGGTGTTCAGATAAATACAAAGTAAAAATTATTCTTTTCTGTGAACTAATATGTCAAATGTTTGTATTTGTTTTAATAACTACATGTATATGCGTATAGAAGTATTTAAGTACATGCATATTTATTCTCCGGTTGCTTAAAATATTTACAATATTTATAATGGTGTCTTATCTGCTATTTTCCCGACAAACCAGAAGAAATCTCCACCTATCACTGTTCCATCATCATCTGCATTTGGAGTCAGTGCTTCTTTTCTATTTTTAATTGACACATTTATTTTAAAAAGTTTTCCTTAACGTTTAGAAAGCCACGTCTTACTGTAACTTTCAAAAGAAAATAATGACACCTGCTTTTTTAACTTGAGTAGTTTTATCCTTTTAAGGTCTGAATCGGGAAAAATAAGTACCTTTATTACATACATGGAAAATATGACTTTGGGTATATTCTAAAGCTGATAGTATATCTTTAACCGCCGACACGGACCAATTTGTGAATTGCTTTTTTCTTTCATTGCTTTCTGTAGTTATGTTTTCCTTTTTTACTTTCTTTATTTCAAACGTTCAAGATTCTGTATACAACTATGAGTGCTTCAGCCGTCAACTTGAGTCAATAAACTTGAGTTTAATCAACATTTGGAAGAACTTTGTTTGCAGTGTGTGAATGGTGTGTGGAAGGTGTATTTGTCTCTTATTGTGTTGTAAATGTCCTGTATTAATTTTCGTGAAAAAAAAAAACTTGAGTCAAGCTGCATTCTGCAGTTTCTCCCATAAATATGTATATTCAAGAAATATTGTAAAAATTCCTTCTTGCCTGAAATCAAGATTACATGTGCAATCGTTACGCCAGTCGTCAACAATAGTCAGTGTCTACAGGATGTAATGGTGAACGACACGCAGCAAAATGGTAATCCACAACTTTTTTTTTCTTTTGAATTACGGTTTGTGATGGCCCGTCAATGTAGTTCACCTGTCGAGATACAAATAATGATATATGTCTAACGCAACATCATGTAAACCTCAGAACCCGCCCCTGGCACCTTTCCACCCTTAAGCACCTGTTAAGGCGGCAGTTGCGAAGTAAACGGTTCACCAGAGTCATATAGTCACGACATATTATGGTTAAACCTCTTGGTCCATTAACGTAATGTTACGACAAAAGAAATAAAGCTTTGTGCTAGGAACTATTTAGTATCTCATAAAAGATGTTATCCTATCATTCAGCGGTATCTGGATCTAAGTTTCAACTTTAACTCGAGGTTGGTAGGTAGGTTTATATGGCGGCAACAAGTATGGGAGGTAGTTGTCTGCTCTTGCTGGGAGGTCTTATCGTCTTGAGCCTTCTTTCCTCTACTGAGTCGAGCACATTGGGAACAAGTAAGTTTTTAAATGCCTTACGTAGCAAAGATATATACTTTTGGTTTAGTTAATAACTATCTCATAAAGCAAGTAGTCAATAAATCAGCATGTTATATATTATATATGATATTATATTTATTATTATCGCAGAGACTAGAAGAATGTACATTTGTTTTAATTTAAATGAGCATTGGAGCAAATTTTAAGCTGGGCAACTATTCAGGAAATATCAACAACGAGGTAAGGGGGGGGGAGCTAATCCCTGTATCCCTCTTCAACCGTTACGCCTATGCTTATGAAGAAGGACAATTTAGCGTGCAGAATATTGTTATCACTACTTTAAAGCGTCACCATCGATCTTGTTAATTAAATGAAATGGCAGATAAATTTCAGTTTGGCAATTCAAAATTTCGAATAAAATATTCTTTATATAACTTTCTGTATATCAAGGAAGCTCGTTTATAGGTGCTTTGGTAATCATTTGTGAAAATAAACATTAAGGAAGAAAAAATGCCATATTGCTTTTTCTTTCAGGATGTTACCACTGTCAATTCCGTGTGTTAGTATCGGACTCCTTCTTCCTGGACCCTAACTTCGGAAACCCAGCGTGCGCATACCCCGGAAGTCGTGACTCCGATGTGGAAGCAGAGGAATGCCTGAGCGATAGGTGCTTCGTCCGGTATAGCCCTACCTCGGGAGGTGAGTTTTCTTTCCAACGGGAGCAGAGAAAAATAGGAGAGTAAGAATTAAGAATTAAAAAAAAATTTGATTTAAACGTTCTGTCATTTTCGAACCCATTTTCACACTTTTATTACAGTTATAACACGTGGTTGCTTCGAGACGGAAGACGGCATCAAAACCAGCAGCGACAAGGTTCAAGTTGATAGACACGGCGATAGGTGGCAGCTCTGCTCATCTCCCGATAAAGATTCCACTTGCAATGACCTCGACATCGTGGCGTCTCTGAATGGTCACCATGGCAATTGCCACGACCCGTCTTCCCACCCGACAGACGAGCCCTACAAGGCTGTCAACCCGCCATATTCATCACCCGAGGAAGAGGTAGACTTGTACGCTGTCATCGGGCTGAATCGCCGTCACGCCAGCCGTAGAGTGATAATAAACCACAAACCAGTTCAACCAACGCAACCGGATCCAATCGCCTCGTATCCAACTTTTGCCTCCTCTTCCTCTTCCCTTCAACCAGATGAACTACAGCCTGTGGAACCACCACCCGTCAAGCTCTCCGCGGTACCATTTGTCTCCCCTACCGAGCAACCTTCTGTTGACGAAGAGAAAGACTGGTACCAAATGATCGGACTTGACCGCGGTCATGGTAAGCACAGGTCAAGTGTAGAAAAACACCCAAACCCACACCAGGACGTTAGCAGTGCGGATCCGACACCACCCCCTAAGGAGCCAGTGACCCAGCCACAAAACACACACTCTGAGGATCCGGAGGAACCGGATTGGTACCTGATGGTGGGATTACACCGGGATGTTGACGTGGCAAGACAGGCGGCTGCACGCCGGGGGTCCGCTTCGTACATTGGGTCTCATTAAACTCTCCTGGCCTACGTTAACTGTTGTTAAGCTTTACAGGGTGTGTGGCCGCGCCATAGTGGAACATTAATGGGGGTTTGCAGTCTAAACGGCATGCTATATTCAAATACTTCGCAGTGAAAACCGAGACTTGTGTTGAACCTTGGAAGCATCTTTATCAGTGCTGAGTGACTGTAGACTATTGTATAAACTGTTATGAAATATTGGAATCGCGTCTAATTAGAACATATTTTCTTTTCAAGGCTCACTTTATTTGCCTAAATGGTATGCATATTTCCAGGTATTCTATGCGGGATTTTCACACCAAATCTTAGTTTCCTCGAGATAAAGCTCAACCCGCCTCTGCACACAGACTCGATATTTTGTACCATTTCTAATTAAATTTAATAATCTAGTTCTACACAAATAGTAGTCCGCGTGGATTTTAGAGCTCAGAAGTAAATGTCAACCCCATGTACGCTTCAGATGAGAGGTTTTATCGTTTTCAATATCGGAAGTGGATGAGATGAGTTTTGCAGGATTTTCAAATATGAAATGTGATTTTGGGACATTTTCAAGCGCGTAGAAAATCTTAAATGCGTATACATCTCTGTAGACAGCAATACTACAGAGAGATACATGTAATAATGTCGGAGAGGAAAGAGCTTTGGGAATAAATTACAGGGGTTTTGGCTATCCTGAGACTGCAGGGATATATGAGGACGTTGGCAAATGCTAAGTGTTCTCTAAGGGCTTAATAACATCGAACGCATGTATAAATGAAGGCCAGTTAAACTGGAACGACACAGAAAACTGTACCGCTCGAAGTAAAAAGGGATAAGGTAATTATATATTAATGGATCGATATATTAAGACGGTTTTATTTAGTGTACAACCGCGCTGTGCAAGAAGGTTGATTGAGATATGACCAATGCTGGACTTTCCTTTGCAGTATAAATCATAATAAGTACGGTTGGGAAGAAGTGCATACGATTAGGAAATTCCAATACTTCAAAAACTAAAAGTTGATATTTGGGGAAACTGTAGATATGAACCACCATTATAGCAACCGTTCTCTGCGAGACATCTCCCACCCTAACAAAACTTATCTACGCCATTCGACGCGACAAAACGGCAATCAATAGCATAGTGTACTGTTTATCAGCTAAACGAGTCTAGATCATAGTTTGCAATGTCATGATGGCATGACAGACATTTAAAAATGCGTGCCTAGTTATGCTGTTGGCATGTAAGGTTTTTTCTTTTTTCAATTCAAGAAAAATCTGACTGGCGGTTTTAGAGCAGCTTAAACAAAGATGCAGCGATTTCTCTATCAAATATCCCAGAGATTATTCTAATCCTCGCAAAGCAAAAAAAAAAAAAAAAAAAATCAGACAGAAGAAACCCGTCTGAAAATATCAACACCCACATAAGCAGCTTTTCAACATCTACCAGGAGATTGCACAGTTGAGCTTTGATCAGGGAATAGGACAGCAGCAACAACGACAATAAACAAATAAGTTAAAATAGAAAAGAAAAAAGCAATAAAGAGTAGAAAACAAAATAATAGATTAGGTAGCTGTATATCAAACAGTCCCCGCTTTTATTTTATGTATTAAATTATGTTTTTGGGGATTGAAAAGTAGCACATCCAGAGGAGCTATCCAGTTCACATTTCACCAGTGCGGTGTATCACAAATATAACAATTCTCCGAGTCCAATTAAGCATGTTTTGACTTAATTTTCATGTTCATGTACTGCGCATGTATTTGAGTGCAACACCAGATTACCTTCATTTCACAGATTTAAATACAAGCGGTTGGCCATCTTGCGCAATATCAATTAATCCTCTGTCTTAAAGATTATGTCCAGTATGTTATGAAGCAGGTCACTGTCCACCACGCTGTCCTTGTAAGCTGGACATGTCTCCCACTCTTCCTGACTGAGAGGTGTGCACACGTCCCAGAGACCCATACCGTGTGCATGCGTGGCGTGATGCTCGCAGCCGCATGATTCTTTTGCAACTGGAACGAGAATTATTTAATTGATCAGTGGCTTTAAGATTGATTAATGAAAAGTTGGCCAATGAAATGAAATTTACTGGTTCTGGAATCTGGTGTTCGTTATAAGTACACACACACACACACACACACACACACACACACACACACGTGTTTTTATTTAAAAATGTCTCATAAGACCACTGCATGTTGCTGCCAAAGTGTTGTCACTTGTACATACAAACTTTGACTACTGGGAGGGCCCAATCTTTCTCCTAACCCTCGAAATTTAAAATGAAATGGGTTTAATTTTAGGCTCTTTGCAGTAACGAGCATGCGAAACATGCACTCGTAATACAAATGTAATCCATATACATGTACTGTATGAGTGTACATGTACATGTACATGCATTAGGGCTACTGGTAGTAGCATACTCATTTTTGGAAGTGACCAAGACATAAACCCCCATTTCAATTTGCAAAGGTGATGAAGAGGAGAGGAAAAATGCTGTGGAAGTTTGGATCCATCTATAGTGGTTATCGTCTTAACTGCCCCTAAAACGTTTTCGAATAAATCATGTTGTCACACCTTCTGGACGCCCGGAGAATGATGACTTTCCCTGATCTCGTGGCACGAAGATTTATTGCAACAGCGACAGGACATACTGTGGTAACTTAATGTACTCACGCACGCAATTGCAAATGTACTGCCCTAGGACGAGAGTTCACAAATGTTCTTTCTGTTATTTCTATTTATGACACAACCAGAGGTAACACAAATACACACAGAGAAACACCTTTACATGCACGCACACACACGCGCACACGAGCAAATTGAGAGAGGGAGCGGGGAGGGAAAGAGGGGGCTACGCCCTTTTTTTCCACCACACGTACAAAAGCGGTTTGTTTATTAGGGCAAAAAATCCCTGTAGAACACGTACCTGAATGTGAAAGTTGAACAAATAGGCAGGTATAGACTGAGTTACACAAATGTTAGCAGTTTTGTACATGTCCATGTTATCTTTTTTTAAATGTCAAAAGATAGATAAAAACTCAAATTTGCTTACCACCTGTATGATCTGATGCCGGCTTGGAGATGACGGTAGATAACATGAAAACACAGAAAACGCCTAGAATCACAGCGTCCCTCATTTTACGTCTGTCTAGTTGAATGGAAGTTAGAATATGAAAATGATTACGTTTAGATTTTTTGATATCGAATATCGTAATTTTTGTATTCATTACAATGTGGAAATTAACGTGAGATTAAAATTAAATATTATAAAGTAAAAGAAAGGGCTTTTAAAGTCTTAAATCGTGATGTTGTTTTCAAAAACTGTCTATAGTAGTGATTTCTTTGTGCGTGCGCATGTTTGTATACGTGTTTGTCTGTTAATGTGTGTGTATGTGTGCGAGAGAGAGAGAGAGAGAGAGTCAACAAAACTTCAATTCGGTCGAAAGTTAATTTCTGAAGAAACATGTTGCACTTGTACTTACCTCTGTCACAACTGGAAATTAAAAGTTTTTCTCAGCTTCTCATATATAAATTTTTCTCTTGTTGAAAAAGACTCTGTATTGACCCAAATCATATACGTAAACGTATATGCGTGATATTTTTCAAACCAAGTACTCCCTGAGTTAAAACACGCCCTCTTCCGAAGTACGTTACATTATCTTTGGATCTTGACTAGAATATAATTTATGAATGTTGCCGATCTAACCTTAAATCACCGCTGGCAAATAATGATAAACAGCTTTGTTGATCAACTCATTTAACAAGGAATAAAAATAAAAATTGTGAAATCATTTAGAGACAGCCAACTAAAAAAAACTTTTGTTAATTCATCCAATAAATGCAGTGGACCACGCCTCTCTCTCTCTCTCTCTCTCTCTCTCTCTCTCTCTCTCTCTCTCTCTCTCTCTTCTCTCACACACACACACACACACACACACACTTTAACAAAGAAA